CTTTGCCAGCCTTGAGACTTTGCTTTCAAGGGCGGTTGAACAGTTTGGACTTTTCCTGTCCTTCTGCTGGAGTTGGTGAGCAGACTCCCCCATTGCATGCTCAGCTTTGTGCCTGGCTGTGGCCATCCGAGCCAATTTAATCTATCTTGCCTGAACAGTGCATGCTATGATCCCATGGCTTCGTTGCCAAACCCATGGCAGGAGCTCTCTGAAAGGAATCACAGCGGTCTCCTGGATACTTCCTGTCCTGCATGCTTTTTTCTGTACCTCCTTTCTCTTTACTTATGCCAGTTGTAATAACGTTTTTTAGATGGTCACTGGTGATGAGGTTTTTTTTCATAGTAACGGCTGTTACAAAGAATTGCCTGAACTGCAGCTGTTTCACAGAGTTCTGTAATAATTCTGTTTTTAAGAATAAATTCCACTTAAAAAAAAATTACTTAAAAATGAGAAATGATCAGCTGTTCTAGGGTCTGCACAGGGACTGTGTTTTTGAACTTCTGAAACAACTTGTTAAGTTGAACGCCTGAGGAACAAAGCAATTTGACTCATTGCTTATATTTAGTATCATTACCTACTGCAATAGGTTCCGTTTTCTTCTGAGCATTAATGTTTTTGGTCAGGAAGGTTAACAGGGAAAACGCCCAGCAGAAGGCATTTGTCTGCTTATCAGAAGGCAAATGCATGGAAAACATCAGGTCACTGTACTGGGTGTCAACTTTTTTCTTTTTTTCTTTTTTCTTTTTTTTCCCTTTTTTTTTTTTTTTAAGAGTCTGTAGAAGGTGGGGTGTTCAAGGGTGGGGAGAGGATGTCCTTCCTTTTTGGTAAAGCCTGTAAAATTGGAGGTGCTAGTGGATCCTTAGTACAAATGTGACCTGAAATCACAGCACCCTCTTTATGTCTTGATCCAGAATCGCATATCATAAATGTATGAGATCCCAAACTTTAAAATATATCTGAGGATCCTAGCTAGTTATAATTTCTCTGGTTTTGAGTATATTTGGAATTGAAGCAAAAATTCTAAGTACTGGTTTTATATGTAATATTAAAAATATGATTGATCTTATAGTTTTGTTAGGAACAAACTTTTACTACATCTTTCTGTAATCCACATGGCAAACAAAGGAGAGATGCCCGGTTTTAAGGTGCTGCTTTTGAAGCTTTAGACTAAAGCATTAAATCTTCGAAGATTGTTTGAAAGTCCTAGCTGCCCAGAGAGCCATAAAGCTGGGCAGGCTCAGCTCGGGAAACTGTGTGACTCCTTGTGTTTCTGGAACCAGGTGAGCAGCTGTAATCGGCTTTCACCACAGAAGTATAAAATACACCATTAAATTTGGTATGTAACAGGTGAAGTGGGGTTGAAAATCAAAGGGAGTGGAAGAGTTTGAGCACGGTTTTGCTGGTCTGAAGCCTGTGTCCTGCTCTTTTTTCTCCCCATTCCCGTCTCTGTATGTTACGGTGTTGTTTATCCCAGAAAACTTCTTCAAGGGGTTAACTGACCAGAATCCTCTTTTTATGTGACCTTGAATAGATACCGCATTCAAGGGAATTTTTCTTCTCCTTGTGGGGTGTGAGAAGCAGCAGAGCTGCTATTGTATTTTTCCTTTTCTGAAAGCATGAAGGCCTGTGACTCCTCAGAGTGCAGTTGGTGGAAGCAACAATGTTTTTTTTCCCCTTGCTCCCAAGCGGTCTCGTCCTGGGGCTTGTTATTTTTATTACATGGAACCCCCTCCGTAAGCAGGCTGAGGAGCCTCTGCTGCCTCTAGTAATCGCTCTTTAAATTGATACAAATTTTAGGCATTGTGCAGAGTCTTGCAGCATCTTCTGAGATTCCCTGTGATAATAGCATCACCCTGCTGAGGAACCTCGTTAATATTCATGTGATAATTGTTTCAGTACTTGGCAGGGACAAGGGCATTAATGTGAAGCCTTCTTCAGCTGACACATATTAAAGAAATGATTGTGTTTTGTACTGTAGCAGTGATTTCATTACACTTGAACAATGAAATTCTGGATGTCTTTCGGTAGATGTGTACATAAACACTTGTGTTAAGGCAGTTAGCTGGCATATTGGACTACATGAACCTCACGTGATCTTGTGTGCAGATCAGTTTCCCAAAAGGGATTTTCATGGTGTTGGTGCTGGTCACAAGGTGAGCTTCGTGACCTCTCAAAGGCTACCCAAGAGACTGGCGATGGTCCTGCACTGTCCCTGGATGTGCTCATGTATGTGGACATATGTATCCAGGCACAGTCCTGTGGCATGATATATATCTATGTGGCTAGGCAGTCTTAAGTCCAATTGATGTGGACTCACGTTTTGTTGCTGGAGATGGTTAATGGGGTTTTTTTTGGTTTTTTAGGTTTGGTTTGGTTTTGGGGTTTTTTTTGAATCATCATGTTCGAGGTTGATCACAGGGCCCACTTGAAAGATTAGCAGGGAAGAGTTTGCTAGAATAACAACTTGTATGACCAGTTCCCTGCCTAGTATCTCAGGACCTGTCAGGAGAGAAGACTGAGAGGTGAGCCAATGTCTGGATGAAGACTTTTGGCAGGGTATGGGCCACTGCAGCACACAGGACAGCTGCTGCTGGTCAAGCGAAGGGGCACAAGCACGGAGGGATGCTTTCTCTGTCAAAATCTTACGTGCTAGCATGTTGTTTCTGGTTAAATGGAAATGAAGGTTTGAAACTGTGTCCAGTTCTTCCATAATGAAGTGTCACTTTTTAAGCTTGGACAGTGGAACAAGAAGCAGCAGCCCTTTGGCAGAAGGCTGATGGGCTTGCACACCACTTGCCCTGTGCTCCCCTGCTTCTCTGTAATTGGACTTCTCTCTTATGTGGAGGGTTGTTGTGAAACTTGTCTCATGTACCCTGGGAAGATTCATGTGAAGACTCTGATTTTAAGAGCAGCTCTGTCTCTCTTTTGACCCCAACCCCTTGATCTCGCAGTTACATGCCTTAAGGGATAGCAGCAATTTAATTTATTTTACTTTTATGAGAATTTGGTTTGTCTTGAAAGACAGGGTAGAAAGAAGAGGGGAAGAGGTGGACTGTGGAATCTGCTGTTGCTGTATTAGGAGAGTAAGAAAAAATGGGGGATCTTTTAGTAGCCAACTTCGCAAGGTGGTAATAAAAAGGATGTTTGAATAGTCACAGATCTTTCAGTGTTTCAGCATACATGTAATAAAGCTTTTTTATGAGATAAGTGGTCTTTGATGGAAAGATAAATAACATGCATCTGTCTGAAAAGGCATAAGATGGCAGCTTTTTCAGACAGGCATTTCTTATCATATTGGGGCTAAGTATTGCTAAGCTGCCAGCTTCTTTTCACTCAGCCTTTTGTGCTGGCCATTGTGCAACTTAGTTTGAGAAACCACACAGTGGTCAGGCACTATTTCATTAATGTTATCAGTAAAGATACTGGCTGCTGAAGATACCAGACCAAGAACTACTACAACTTTGGTATACTTTCAGAGACAAAGAAAAGTTTCTAGTGCTGCGAAGCCACATGCATCTCCAGCCTTTCCTGCCATAGGCAGTTGGGGAGAAGTCCATCAGACTTGCGTTTTCCAGGAGCAGGGCTGCTGCGAGCGGAAAGGCTGCTATGGCTGTGTCCCAGCCAAGGGCGAGGATGGTCACTGTTTGGCTGATCCTTGGTGATGGACCAAAGCTGCCCTGTCCATCCTCCTTTTTCTGTTCTTCCAAGGATGCTCGGGTGCAGTAGGCCTCCCTGATGGCAGCAGGCTTGCAGGTTTGGAGGGCTGCTGCTGCAGCCTGTTGCAACAGGAGAGGATGGGCAGTGGTCTGTCTGGCTCGCTCCCTCCACAGACCAGGTAGGACGCTCTCCAGAGCCACCCAGCTTGGCAACAGTCTGCAGCAGGACTGTGAGGGCAGTGGTAGGCAGAAGTGGCTGCTGCCTGTCTCTCTTGAGGACTTTGCTTGCCTCTGCTCGTCCTGCTTGCCAAGTGTGTGGGCCTGCTGGAGATCTGGTGGGAGTGGTCAAAGCCATCGTCATCTTCCTTTGGAGCATTTTGGGTCAGGAGAGCTTGACCTGCCTGCTCTCTTATCTGTCAAGAGAGTGTTTGTTGCCAGCAGTGGGGCAAATGTTAGAGCCCTCTGGGTCTATGCAAAAGGGTTTGGTAGCATGTCTGATGCACACTGGTGGTGTGTTCTCCAGTTTGCTCAGAGATGGAGCTGCCGTGAGTTAAATGCCTCAAAATGGTGGAGAAAACCAGTTGAAGACTAAAGGAGCCTGAAGCTTTGTGGGGTGAGGCGAAGCTCTCTCAAAACACAAGTGGGCTGTTTATGAAACACTGTCGAAGAGGATGCATTTGACTCCTGCCTAATCACTGCACACACATGCGCTCCTGCCAGGATGACCTTGTTCCCGAGAGCTGGTGGCTGGCTTGTGGGGCAGGGCTGGTAGCCCCAGCCACGTGGTCTGACGCAGACACGAGCTCAGCATACCTCCCTTGCTTGTTCGTGACACCTACACTGCAAGGTGCAGGAGTTGTAGCTGGTGATGCCTCTTCTGGGCTTGTTTCTGCATCTGCCTTCCCCTTCTTTGTCTTCTGTCCCCAGAGTGACACAAACACTTCTCAAGTCTTTCGTCCAGGCACGCTGAAAGCCTACGGGACACTTCATACTGGAAATCCAGGAGACCTCTCCAGAGGAGGAAGCAGCGTCTCCTGTTTGTCTTGAGTTATTCTGTCACAACAATGGCTTCAGAATTTGCCTAATTTAAAAGCTAGTTTTAATCTGATGGGAAGATGTTTGTGTATTTAAAATAGTTATTCCTTGCTGGAGCCACTCCCTTCTTTTGTCCTTCTCTGCTGGACTTTTCGGCTTTGCTTAGCTAATGCAGTGCTTGTTTACAGCAGAGATACTGGAGCATGAAGAAGGAAGTCGGTACGTTTAATACTGATTTGGTTCCAAGCTTCCTGTGCGTGTGCATGCACGCGTGTGTGTGTGTGTGTGTTTTCAGCCTTGTTCATCCAGACACTGTGCAGCCTCAGTAGAAAAAGCAAAGGGGCCGGCAGAGACTAAATGCAGGCGTGGTTTTTTTTTTTAATTCTTCCACCTGGTTTGGTCCTGAGCAGGTTTAAACAACGCGGGTAAAAATTCCAGTATGGCAAGCCTGGTGAGGAGGGTGCTAGTGCAGACAAAGCCATTGAGTGGTGAGTATGAGAAGCATCTTGCCTAATGGGAAAGATAACTGATCAGAAAGTGTTGGTTTAGGTGCCTAGGAGGAGAAACGCTGTAGCGGGCAGCAAGCTGTTGGGTATTGTTGTTTTCATCTTCCATTTCCAGTGTGAGCTGGCTACCTGGAAATACCAAAACCTACGTCCGTGGAGAAGATGGTTATCCAGAGGAATGCACTAGTTAATGGGGCACAGTCACTTTTAAAGTCTTTTCCTTAGCCTGCCCCGGGTTTTCTGCCTTAGCTTGGCTAAATAACAGCAGCAGTCCATATAAATAGAATGGCTTTTAATTTGGGAGGTTTTTGGGGGAGTGGGGAGCTTGCAGGAGATGGGCATCTTGGGAGCATATAAACTGTTGTGTCAGTTGTGACTGTACCAAAAGATGGGATTGAGAAGAAAACAATGCTAATAAGCTGTAGGAGAAACAATTTTATTGCTTTACTTTTATTCTTTTGATTTGGGGTAAGTACCAAACTGGGTTTCAGTAAGGTGCTCTTGTGTTGCAGTGGTTACAGAAATCGTCATCAGCAGTGTTGTGTATTCTGGATTTTAAAATATTCCAGTAGCAGCACCAGCCTGTGCCTGGGGTTTTTCATTTAAATTTATGATGTTTATTCAGCTCTTAATTGTGCAAATTAGAATAATTATGGGGTGTGATTATATGCATACCCGGTGAGTGTTTTTAAGAGGCCAGCTCAAATTTCAGGAATTTATTTTATTAGCCTTGTCTTTCTGGTGCAAGTGTCCTTTCTGCATGCTTCTGTTCTGCAAAGCAAACATCATAAACTGCCACAGCAGGAAACAATTTTTGCAGCAGCATATCTGAGTGAATCAATCTTTAATAGGGCAGAAGGCTCTTCAATAACTCGGGCTAATTAGGACTGATGTGGTGAGTTATCAGAGACTGAAACAACCCTCCCGAAGCAGAGCAACTTCTCTCTGTTCCAGGGTTTGATAAGCACAGGAGGGCACAATTTGAGCCACGTGTGGTAAGGCTTGTGCAAGTGCCAATTTTATCAATGTATAAACTTCTATGAAAGGTTGTTCATGGAAAATAGGAATTTTGTGTGAGTTACTGACTGCTGCTAATCTCTCCCAAGGCTGCAACTGAGACTGTATTTGTGGAGGCAACAGTTCAGACTCAGATGTAAGCAGTGTCTCTTATGTGGAAGTTAGGGACTGGGTGTGCAAAGTATTGCTTTGGCCTTTGCTGGGAAAGAGATCATGTTGGCAAATGGTGTTCCCTTCTAGCCCAAACTGACTAGTCTGTCTTCGCTCACTCAAAGCTTCTCAGAAACCATGAATTTCTGCCTCTAGGAAAAACGGAGATATCGCTGGAAATGGAGTAATCTCCTTGATTACGTCGTGACAGAGGTGGCATGACAAATACAGGAAACTGAAAAAGAGATCTCCTTGATCTGTCTGTAAATAACTTGGGACTTTGGGTAACTTAACCAGTCATCACAAAAAGAAACTGAGTGAAAATAAATAAATATATATATTTCCTTGCTTCAGCAATAGGGAGATTGGAATGATTCTAGTTGAAATTTCACTTGAAAAAAAGGCAGTCTGAAAATTAATGTAGAGAGGTTTTTTGTAGAGAAGTCTAGCAGATATTAAATGACTAGAGCATACATTTATCTTGCATAGATTTCTTCAGAGAAGTTTTAGTCCATCAGTGTTTGAAAGCACAATTCTTTGATGAGGGAAACATAGCCAATAGGGAAATGTGTAATAAGCATTGGCTTGATAACTTTCAGCATGATTTCAGAATCTCTGGAGAGGTTTTTTCAGATTTAAATCTCATTATTTGTGCTGTGGGGATGTGTGTTAAATGCGTTTTTTTTTAAATACCTTCAGGATGTTAGGAAGTTCAGGATGCTAAGAGAATGGTATGAAATACAGCTGGTGGGAGGGTGACCCCAGAGGAGGCATACCCATTGAAAAACTATTTGTATAGGGTGTATAAATACAAGCACTCATTCTGCCCCATGGAAAGTGTGTGCTTGAAGCCAGTTTGGTTTCTTCATTCGGGGAGGTTGGGTGCTGAGACCTCAGTTCTATAATCCCAGCCTGCTGCCCAGATCTTCATACTAGTGCGTGGATAAAAGGAACAGTGCAGTGAGTGGTCAGATGGAAAAAGAAATGGCACAGGAAGGAAACATTATAAAGAAGCATAAAGCACACGTACGGTATTTATTTTCCAGTGTTTAAAGTATGGGGAGCAGCAAGAATATAGAGCTACACCTTATTCTGTGTTATCGCATGTAATTCTGGCAGAAGAAAAGTCTGCAGCAAAATAATCTGATGAGCATTTTGTCTTTACTATGTAGGGTCTGTGTCTGATTATCACTCTTCTTTATTTAACTCTTCTCATGCCATTAAAAAAAAAAAATCTTTCCTTTCATTCTTAGAGAGATTTACTTATAGGATATCTGAAAGTGATCTTGGGTTTCCATGTTCCAAATTTATGTACTTGCTTAGGCACCAACAACTTGCAGCAGCTTTCAGAGATTTCAGGATTAATGAACTGAATGAAAGAACATCAGTCTTCAGAAGGGACTTTTAAGTGGTGACTTCTGTATAAGAATAGACATGGTCAGAGGCTATTTCAGCAGGAGTTACATTCCACTTACTTTGAGACAGTTGTTTTTTTAATGGCCCCTCATGTTTAAGGTTGGTTATGGTAGAGAACTTGTGAACGCTTTATGAAGTGGTGGTGAAACTGAACATCCTAAGGTTTCAATCTTTATTTAAAACGAAAAGGTTACAAAAAGTCAAGGTCAAAGTAGGCAAATGGCATTTTGCCAACTTAACAAATGCTATTGTATTTATCTCTCCGCTCCTGAGATCCATGTTACTTTTAAAATACTGTTTAATTTGCCTGTCTGCTGGTCTATAACTGCAGGAGAAAATACAAATTGTTTTTTGGATTTGAGATAAACTGAAATGAGCTTGAGCCATGCCCTAGCTGAAGAGACATTTTAAGTCAATTGAAATTGACTGTTCTTTAACATCATTTACCTTATAAAATATAAAAATAGAAACTGTATGGAAAGCTCAACACGTTAAAGAACAGCAAAATAGCAAAAACTTATAAAGAAGGACTTAGCTAAGCAGTATCCTTTTGTTTTCTAACTATATACTGCATTTCCTTTTAATTAACGTTTGAAATGACACCCATTATTTCAGCTGCATTGCCACAAACGATGCTGCCACATCATCTGAAGGTTGTTCAAGATGATGTTGGATGCAAGAAGCTGTTAAATGAAAGTTAAAGTTGTCACATCAAAGCTCTCAAATAGCAGAAAAGTAACAGCCTTAATGGTTGCACCATCTTAACATTACTTTCTTTTGGCAGGTAAATAATGGTAGTCTAACAGGAATCTCCGGTACCTCAGAGGACTGTTTTTAAGCGTGAGGAATATCTTGTATCTGAGACTGCTGAGGGTGATACATTGGGGACCTTTACAGTAAATGGCCATACATAAAATAGTATAGATTTTAAAGGTAGCAGCCACTAAGCTGTCATATCAGAACGCCATGGCTGAGGGAGCTTTAGTATTAATTTAATCACCTGAGTGCAGTGACATTTATGCTGCCAGTTCAAGTGAGCGTGCTATAGAACATATTTACTAACAAAAGCATCTCGCTTAATGAAAATCTTGCAGTACAGGTGTCAGAAATATTCTAAGTCTGGTTTGGATTTAGTAATGCAGTATTCCTCTGTCATGGAGCCATCAGTATCCTGCCTTCAGAACATCTTTTAATGTTCTTTTAAAAAAATAAAGAAAAAAAAAATCTGTTTAAAAATAATGTGGCATTACCTTGTATATTCATTGTTCTTACAAACCTTCTAGCTAAGCACAGAATGTTGTGTGTTATTTCCTCTGCAGACAGATAATTGCAGTAGGGAGAGGAAATCGCGCAGTGTAAAGTACAAAATCTTAAATAGTGTGTATAAGTTCCTATTTCTGTTTACTGGGAACTTAGTATATCTTTTTAATTTGTTGAAATAATTTTAGCCTCTAAAAAGCAACATTGTCATTAGTAATAAATCACTTGATATTGTCTCTGAAGATACCTTATATTAAAAGTAAACTTTTTCCTGTTCTTTATATCTCTGTTTCTCCTCCTCACTACAAATAACCAAGGGACTGTGGCAAGGCTACTTGTATTGTTCCATAGTCACTTTTCTTTGTGGAATTTGCAGTCCCTTTCTGACGTGACAAAATAGGGTATTTCTTTATTCCCGGAGTGCAAGTTGTATTCTCTGACAATTCTGCAGACCAGGCTTTCCTTTCTAGCACTTTAATAGATTCGGGCTTAGATTCTCCACAAGATAATTAAGAGTTCCACGTTGTAGTCTTTCCAGCTTCAAAAACTGGACTAATAATACTCTTTAGTATCCTCTCTGGTTTTTTTTGCTTTGAGAGTTCAATAGACAGAGCACTCTGTCAAGGGTATTTCTGAGTTTTGGAGATCTGTGCATTCCCCTCCATCACACTCTGTAGATATCCTGACTGTTTTGGGACAGGCTTTTTTAGTGATCAATAGAATTTTTCCAAAAAATTAATTCCAAACTGAATTAAGCCATATCAGAAGAAAGCCACTGTAATTCTGAACAGGGAAGGTTTTTTAAATGTTTTGTTATCCATGTTAAATTATCTTAATTCCTGAACATAATCAGCTTTTTTAATATCCCTGTGTTTATCCACCTAAAGTTTGCAGAGGGTGGTTGTAATATCAGCTGTGACATGAAGCTATTTTGCTTTCCACTAATCAGCTCTCCCCTATGACCACTATGTAAATAAACACCAATTATTGCTGATGGTGTAAACGCAAAGCATTTGGGTTCGCTTGTCAGTATATTCTGCTATTATCATGATTAAATTTGCAATCCTGAGGACTGTTATCAAATAACAGTAAGGGAGAGAATTAGTTTTGAAAATGAGATTTCCAGTCTTAGTAGGGCC